ACAATTGATGTATGTATGGATTGTGATAACAGTTGTATGAGCCCCTAATAAAACAATTAAATATATATATATATTTATATATATATAAATCTGAGATTTTTTAATGAGCTTTTTGCTACATTCTATCATGTTTTCCATGGTTTCATTTTATAGAACACCCCTGCCCTCTCACAGTCCCACTCTGATTCCTACCATAATCTGGCTTCATATTTTGTTCCCTTGATTTATATCCATTTCCCACAATAGTGAGCTTCTGGTAACACAAGTAGGCTGAAACTTTGTCTGTTTGATTGACTTTAGTGTCACTGTTCATGTACTTTTTCATACAATGGTAGCTCATAAATTATATTGTCAGTGTGGAAGATGCCTTGGGGTTTAAAGCCCAGTCGTTTGAAGACTAAGCATAAAACTTGTGAAAACAACCAAAATAATGAGGTAAATTTAAAATAGCCTGGAATAATCTTTTCCTACAAGAGACTGACAGCACGAGCAAAGATAGAACTCCCAGTCAATCACCAGAACTGGTTGATACCTATCAAATAGGACAATTTGGCCACTAAATGTCATTTTTTAAATGAGTGTTTTAGGTGAATGCCCATAATGCCCAATTCCCATAAAAAGGAGCTACGTTTTCTGATGAAATGGATGACTTGAGGTGTAGGCATAAATGAGCAAGAGACTGGAGTGTTTTATACCAGAAAGGAAGGAAGCTAACAGAAGTCCCATGATCATGTTTATGATCATGCAAATGTTCAGAGCAACAAAAAGCAGAAACAACCAAAATGTGCATCCACAGAATGCGCATAAACAAAATGCAATTGTCCTAGGCTGAGTTCTCTGCTGTTGCTGTGGACGTTGTTGATGATGACGGTGCTGTTGAGTCTGTTCAATTCATAACAATTCTACGTACAGCAGAATGAAACGCCTCCTGGTCCTATGCCACACTCAACATTGTTGTGGTCACTGTGTCGGTCCTTCTCCTGAAGGACCTTCCTCTGTGTTGCGTCCCCTCTCCTTTACCAAGCATGATGACTTTTTCCAGGCACTGGTCTCTCTTGATAACATGTCCAAAATGCGTAAGATGA